GCCGTCCAGTTCCGTGTGTAAATGAAATAGAGAATACGATAGGCCTTGAATTCTGTCGGGTGTCCTCCCAGCTGTTGCGCATACAGCACTCGTAGCTGGGTCTGGCACTGGTTGTACTCACCGAGATCCCCTTTTTCCAAGGCGATGCGCGCGTGGATTTCGTAGACAACGACAGTGAATTCATTTCGGATGCGCTGGACCGTTAGGTCTTGACGCAAAGACTTGAACTGATCACAGATGTAGCCGTAATTGCCATCCTGCTTCCATTTCCTCTTCAATAGATCCAGGGTCTTTTGCAAAACCGGTAGAGGACGAACACTGTCCGGGTTGGGAGCAGAGGTCAATCGGAAGTAGTTCTTCTCCAACGTTTGGCATCGCCCGACAACGGGGCCATGATCCGCGTCGGCAGCACGCATCGGCGATCCTGCAGGAGAAGAGGGGGAGTTCCCGCTGCCCCCCACTCCCTCAAAACGCTTCCTCCTCATCTCCAAATTAGCTTTGGACTTACTAGACTGGTCCAGTGTTATGCGTGGTTTTTTCTCTGTGGTAGGGTGAGTAACTCGATCTTCAAAACGATTGCGGTTAGCTTTTCTCCATGGCGGCGATCCAGTTTCCGAATGATGGCCATCAGTCGACTTTCGCTTCCGTGTGGCATCTCCTGGAGAAACTGGGTGACTGGACGCCCAGTTTGAAGAGCTGGGGTTTGCCAGGATTTTGTTGCGTTCATTTTGCACCATAGTTTGGGGTAAGGGTAGCCTTTCCCAGTCGATCAATCCCAACTTGTCATTCTGGGCCGCTTCCGTAATGACCTGCCTCAACTTGTCCTGCATTTCAGGAGTGCTCACACTTGCAACCTGGTTTTCGGGAGCAAAGCAGCGTTGCACATACGAGCGTACGGGGGGTGGGAACTCCACTCGCGCCCGGCCTTCTGTATCCGGTGATGCCGACTGGCTGGGCTGGGAAGAAATGGTTCCATTCGTTGGCTTGGTATGATGAGCGAGGCTACGACGCGCTTGGACTGGAGTGTACGCTGGGGTCGCTGTCAGGTTGTTAGTCTCCTGACACGAGACCAACAAGACTCGGGTCGAATTATTTTTCTTACCGGCTGGAGGAAATGCACTGGACATAGTGCCTGGCGCGGCAGACCGCCAAGGTGGTACGCTGGAACTCATCGTAGATGCAAGATTTGGAGAGAACAAAGAAACAAGATGAAAGGAAGTAAAGAGCTACGAAGGGGCAAGACTCGAGGAACGGCTGGAAGAATCAACTTTCGACCTTACTCCTCGGCTGGGACTGGTTTTGAGATGAGAGAAAAGAGGATGAACGTTTATTTCCAAGACGAGATGGTCACGAGCCGGGGGAGGGTGAGAGTGATGTCCACACAGACTCGACCCGTGACGGTGAGCGATACTCGCTTACTCACCGGAATTTTGTTTGTCCGCGCATCCCGCCTTATCGGGTTATCGCAATTGCCTTGGCTTAAATGACATGCCTCTCTCTTTTTATGGATCTCCTTGACGGTGGGAGCTGGGTGAACCTACTAGATGTTGTTCAAGTCGCTGGATCTGACTACTGCGCTCAGACCCTTGCTGTTACCCGATGAGATTCTTCTCTTTGTCCAGGATGCGGTAGGGTTGTACGAAGGGTAAGTAGCTCATGATGATGCTCCTGATGCGGGGTGCTGATTAGACAAAGGAAATACAAAGTCCAGAATTATCAAAATGGCCATGCCTATCTCACATCCCACAGAGTGTGCTATGTTGCGGCTGAGGACCCGCGGAAATACTCAGTGGCTATTGATCTGAAAGAAATCGATCGAGTAGAGTCTCAGGTGCGACATGCATACATCTTGCTTTCGAGGTTTTTACTCTCGGCCAATCACTAACAAACCCACGGATTCAAGGCTGGCTTCCTGAAGTCATCTCCGAAGATCACCATATACCCGAAACCGCAGAAGAAGACCGATAAGTCGAGGAGCGCAACAGCCAGCCCATCTGTAGCCCAACAGGCGGTCCTTCATCCAACGCAGTCACTTTCTCACCTGCCACAGACCAACCTCCAACAGAGCTCACCATCTCCAAAGCCAATCAATGCCACTTGGATATGTCCCATATGCTCATTCTCCAACCCAGTTCCGTCCAATTTCGACCCTGCAACAGCTAGTGCGGCTACAAATTTACCTCCTTGCCTAGCATGTGGCATCAAACCACCATTTACGACCGTTCTCAAAGCAGCGATCAGTGCTGTAACAAGCCGGGAGTCTCCATTGCTGAGTTCAGCTGCATCACCAGCCATTGCACAAGATACATGCCAACCGAATGCCAATGCGTCTCTATCGCCTTTTGGCTCCGGGGGAACTGTCTCTTGCCCGCGATGTACCTTTGTGAACCATCCATCTCTTACGGAATGCGAGATTTGTGGAGCGCCTCTATCTGCTGGCCCCTCAGCGAGCGCTAATCGTGTGGACTCTCCTGCGCCGTTATTTGAGCAATCGCACATCGCGAACACGGAAATTAGCGAGAGCATCAAACTTTCATTTCGTGCAGGTGGTGATAAGACGTTCCATGAAAGACTTAGAGGGGCCTTAGTTCAAAGAAAATGGCTCTTGCGAAATGCGCCCCCAGTACCTTCGCCGTCGCAAGGCGCCTCCTCGCCTGGCTTACCTTCCTCCGCCGCTAGCGTGGAAAGTCCTCTACCCTCAGTACCACGACATGCCGGGGTTGGTATCGCGGGATTAGAACGCCGAGGGCTGGAAGCCCGGAAGAAAAACGAGCTGGTGATAGGAAACGCCTTTGAAGATCTTGAGGCTTTAATGGCCTCTGCCAAGCAGATTGTTGCGCTGGCCGAGTCTCTGGCGCGTGAGTCTGGGATGACTACTAATGAAAGCTCTCCAGAAACCAGCGCGGTGCTATCTGAGTCCGCTGCGGCTCTCGGGATGGTGACAACCAAAGACATGCTCAGTTCCGGATCTGAAAGTCTATATTTATCGGAACTTGCGCGCGACTTGGCCGAGTATCTCACTGATGACCGAAAAGGCATTTTGCAGCGGGAAGGTGGGATTATGAGTCTCATTGATCTCTGGGCTGTCTTCAATCGGTCCCGTAATGGAGTAGAATTGGCCAGCCCTTCGGATTTTCAGAAAGCAGCGGAGCTGTGGGAAAAGCTCAAGTTGCCAGTTCGTCTACGACGATTCAAAAGTGGCCTTCTTGTGGTGCAACGATATGACTGGAGCGACGAGAAGACTATTGAAAAACTTCAGACCTGGATGGAAGAGCTCCGGCAAGTTCCCCCCGAGGATCCTGTTCCCTGGGATTGGTCCCTCTTCGGTCGGGCCGTTACTGCACAAGAAGCTGCGCATCGATTCAAATGGAGCGTCGGGGTGGCTGCCGAAGAGCTGGAGATGGCTGAAGATAGGGGGGTTCTCTGTCGGGAAGAAGGAATTGAGGGTCTCCGCTTCTGGCGCAATTATCTCTCGTCCCGTGGGTATGATGATCTCTCTCGCCTTGCTATTTGAGGTGGTGTGATACCATAGGAATGTACATATACATCCCCCGTTCATATCCCCGTTGATAAGAGGGGCTGTGATTCTGCCGATGCCTAGCATAATAAAACGATGTATGGAACATATTTGGGGTCAGAGCATGAGGCTGAGGACCTTTCGCTACTACTACCATGAACGTGATCCTAGCTAAGCACTCTGCATACCCGCGGACATGTGGGCTTTCAATGCGCCAAGATCAAGGCATATTGCCAAGAGCTCTAGATGCCGAACTGAACGCTGCCACCGCATACTAGATGTATAATCATTAAATACATCTATCTACTCATGGTGGTCCGATGACACCACACAGCAGCGAATGACGCATGTTTTCCTTTAAGGGAAACAGAGCATCGGAGAAGCAAATCCATCCATACATATCCAAGCCCCAGATCCTAGATTGGATAGAGGTCATTCATAAGCCTATTTCAGTATGTCCTACTGTTATCAATGAAGCCCTGGAGGATTTCCCAACCTATGTAAGCGCGGTGTTTGCGTATAGCCCTGGGTAATGATCTACATATGTACATCACTGCTCTGTCCAGGGTCTGTCAGCGACTATTCGTTACCACGGGAGGACCATAGAGATATCAGATCCATGGGCTGACAATTCGTCTTACCTCTAATTTATCCATCTACTGTTGCCTGATATGTATAACCGCGCATATACGGTCGAAGCTCTATGGTCCATTACTACCATTTCCCTTAGAATTTGAATTGGATGTTTATCTTCTCTAGATAAGCAAAGAACTAGCCGGTCAAGCTCGTTGTATTCATACTTAAGAGTCGGAAGCCACGCGGGACTTCGGATGATTGATATAGCTTCTACGATATAGAGCCGATATCCACCCCACTGATCTTCCCGTGCTGATAGATCCACAATAGTAACAAAAGTCCAATTGCTCCTTTTGTTCAATCTCGCATCAATATCTGACTCCTCTTACCCACTTGACCTCATGCCAAGCCTTGCCCATAGTTGTACGACCTGAGTTTCCGCCACCACACCCATGGAGCTAGAATGGGACTTATCCGTTGGTGATGACTTTTAAAGACTACACTAGATGGTCTGCATAGGGCTGTCACGCTAGCTCAGATACTCAGTTTGCAACACATGGGTGCTGGCGCATTTCACCAAACCAATCTCAGTCGCCCCATGCCTTCTCCAGAAACAGGCTTGCCGGAAATCCATGACCTAGCCTCCCTGGAAGAAACGTGCCCATCCTTTTGCGCACTGTATACCTTCGAAAGCTATGAAGCATCCGAATTGGCCGTTCTGTACACTAGAAGAGGATAAACTGCGGATTTGGCTCCCCTCTCCAGGTGAACTAAACGAAAACCTTTTGTCATGTCCAATGCCCTTCCTTAGTGAACGTGCGTACGATTTCCTTTTCTAAAACTCAAATGCTAATGACTGGCCTGCAATAAGCACAAAATGGAAACTGACAACTGCCGCCGGTACAGCCTAGTCTCGACGACGTCGATCTGACTCAAACACAGTGAACCCATCAATTCCCCGCCCGTCATTTCCGCCGGTGCGGAAGAATTCGACCATCACTCCGATAGCATAACACGTTGATGCGGTAGCTGTGCCTGCAATTAGCATTCTGCGGCATGCCTTACGAAACGAAGAGTCTGATTTTGTGGTTGCTTCGGGCTCGGAGCTAGAGGATCCAGTTGCTGAAGGAGGCTAAGTCGACTTGTTAGGCAGCCACCTGAATAGACAGTTCTACTGTCTACTCACCTTAGTGGTGGATTTCCAGGGAGCTCCGGCGTATACGGCGGTGGAGTCCATTGAGTCGTGGCGAAGATGTTTGGCAATTTGGGCGTGAATTGCTGGTTTTTGGTCTTCTGCGGTATTTGAGAGAGTGTGACGAGGGGGGGTTAGAGTCTTCCGGAAGACAAGGATGTTGCCTCCGCCGGTTGCAATTTCGTAACCATCTTCTTGCATCTTCTCGAAATAGGGTAGGAATTTCGCAGGATTGTGCAGTCGAGACAGAATTTCACTTGGCCGACTATTTTCATCGACACCGAAGAATGAGTCTGCTTGCGCGGCTGAGACTTGCGACGTCGACGTATCGAAAGCGAGAATATGGAATTTAGGGGAAGGGCTTTGGGAGGCTTCTTGTTGCTCTCCTTTTTCGGTGGCTAGGTTCTGGCTTTTGAGAATGAAGTCACCACGGTCTTCGGAAGCATCGAAATCCAGCGGATTGGCTTGCACCCTTGGTTCCAAAGGAGCATAACGAGAGCGAATATCAATAGCACCCAAGGCGCTCAGGTCCTTATTCTCATTGGGACCCTCGGCACTCGCCATCTCAGAAATGAAATTTGCCTCTAACTCATTCCCGGGTGTACAGTCCGCAACATTCTTGGCTGTCTCGGATGTATCAAGGCCAGCGGGTAGTTCTGGCTGTGATTGCTTTTCCTCAACTGAAGCCGGGTTGCAGATAAACTTGGCCTCGAGTTCGCTTCCAGGAGGACAATCGACACAGGTCTGGGCTTCGGATTGGGCAATATCCTGGCTGTCCGCCTCTGACGAAATATGTGCTTCAATCTCACTACCTGGGGAGCACTCAAAGCCTTTTTGAACGCCTGTCACGGCGGCGGTGTCAGCCGTTTGATGAACACGACCGTCGGACTCAAGACTGAGACTATCGATCTCAGAAGAGAGCTTTGCGTCCAGCTCGTTGCCTGGTGGGCAATCAATTGAAATGCCAGTTTGCTTGGTCTGAGGTTGTATCTCTAACCCAGACGGAGAACTCTGGACGGAGCGGCTGGTAGGATCAGCGATGAACTTGGCCTCCAGCTCACTTCCCGGGGAGCATTCCACGTTGGTTCCCGCAGTCAAACTGGCATCCAGATTCAGTCTATCGGTGTTTCCGTTGAACTTAGATGTGTCCGGCTGAGGCTGTGCAGAAAGAATAGATTCAGAAACAAGCAATGTTTCCAGTTCACTTCCAGGAGGGCAATCGATATTTACGAAGGTCTTGCCTTCGGTTTCCTGGGAAACTTGAGCCCTGCCATGCGCATCCTGAGGGGTTCGAGTTGAGGTAAAAGATGCATCTTGCTCACTGCCTGGAGGACAGTCAACGGTTGACTGTGAGCTGGACGGGGCTTCGACGCTCGGTCCCGTGTTTCCCGGCTGGAACTGTCCATCCTCGGCCAAACTGGGGTTGTGGGCAAATTTTGCCTCCACTCCAGCGCCTGGAGGGCAGTCAACCGCTTTATGAGAGTTAATTTCTGTTTCCGGGTCGCTGGATTCGGGTGCAGTTGACGGTGGTATCGGCGCCATGCGTCCACTGATAGGATCGTACATGTACTGCGGTCGAACATGATTGGCGTCACTTCTCGTTTGCCACTTGTCTACTCTCGGCCTACCATTGAGTGGCTTTTCCATACTGGAAAACGACTGAAGGAAACCGTTCAACGAAGTGTCGGTCCTGCCGAAATTCTGAAAGGGGTCCAATCGGCGCCCAAAGACGGCCCTGTAAGGGTCTGCCTCTATGTACCTTTTCAGCAAGTCCATGCGTTTGTGCACCCGCCCTGAATCCGATCCCCAGAGACTTCTCTCCCAGCCAGCCGGGGGGTGGTAAGAACTTGACTGAGAAAGCCAAGCCGCCCAGCTCCAGCGTGAGTGTGTATCGTTGGGAGTAGTATTGCTGCCACGGCGAGTTCGGGCTTTTCGCTGATTGTACAGAGGGTATCGCTGAAATTTGCCAAAACTTCGTGAGATAAGTTCTGTTTTGTCCCCCTGACCGTTTGGTGCACATCGCCATATACTCCGATTCGAAGTATGCGTGGCCACCAATTGGGAAGATGCCGAGCGAATGACTCGAGGCCCTGACTTTCTGATTGACATTGCAGCCGAGGAACTCATGGTGAATCCTCGAGCTTGTATATGTAAACTCAAGGTGTTCTTTATGTTTGACAACTTATTCTAGCGCTATTCGAGTTCTGGTGATTCTTGCAGTAGTCAATGGCTTTGTCGATCGGATCCACTTATGGAGTACAGTGACAAGAGGAGTACTGATCTCGGCCGAGTCTGTCCTGCAGAGGCCTGTCAAAAAGAAAATGATTGTAATGTATGGGAGAAAAGGACTATTATCCAGATATTCCCAGTCACAGTTGAATAAGAAATGAAAAGGAATGAAGAAGGAGGATAGAAAGAAAGGAAGAAGGACCAGAGGACTCCGGATCGGGGTACAGCCAATCGGTACCGCGGCGGGGTTTCCCCGCAAAGTTACGTCAGCTGTGGTGACGTCACAATCGAACATCCCTGCTGTTTTGAAGTCACTCCTTGCATTAACGATTCTTAAGGCAAGTATGAGAGGTGCGAAAGAATTATAAAGATACACGTGAATTGATCTGACATTGCTTCACCTTAAATAAAGGATCTAAGTCTAGGACAATGATATGTCTCACTCCTCACGCAACAACATCGAGCCCAAGCAAGATGAGCCCTCACTGCTCAGGTGGGGTAAGCTTTTGACCAAATTAGTCTGAAGAAGCATTTAAGCATATACAGAAAGTCAAGGACAATATATTAAGGGACGATTGAACAAATTTGTAGAGTTAATATAAGTACGAAGTATCGGACAAGCCGGTCTACTTTTCATCTCTCTTATTCAAATGTGTCTATTGCTCCACGGTACGCACTGTGGTAATACCACCACTTAAAATATCCTTTCTAGACTTTTTCTTCGTTTCTCTCTCCTACCGTCTCTCCCACACTCTCCCCTCGCGCTCCCCTCGCGCTCCAGAATCGAGGCGGCTCTAAAGGGAAAGGGTTTTGACACATCCTCGTGGGAGAGGAAAAGTACTAACTTGACCTAAGAGAACTTTTCTGGACCCGAAGAGGTTAAGGAGGCTTGCTGACCATTCGGGCGAAACCACCAAAAGATCATGGCAGCCAGGCCGTCAGAAACCACCACCTTGAAAATCTCCAGAGAGATGACTGAAAGAAGCCAATAGTCCTTGCCAAGGTCAGGTCAGGGCCGAGTAGTAAGAGAGAAGCATGCTCACCATGCTCTAGAAATGTTGCTTGTCGCAATATAGTTATCGTGAGTATATATCGTAAGTATCAACATCTATACCTAGAGCGCTTCTCTATACTGCCTAATTGTGTATTAATTAATGCTTTCATTTTAGATTTACATTGTTTGAAAATAGAAATACCTATGCACTTGCTATCGCATCGTTGTAGAGTGCTCCGACCTCGGGAGGTAGTCAATGTGGGGTTCCTAATCGATAACGTCCCCATTCCCACAGAATCCCCAGGGGTCAAACAATTTGAACGACTCTCAACAAATTCTTCTCGATCACATTCTAACTCAATCCATTCCGACTCACATCCCACAAAATGTCTAAGCCAACACGTACCCCCGTCAGCACTAAGGGCGCACCCGTCCCACCCCCAATTCTATCTCAGGGTATGGTCGTCGGCAATATGGTCTACTGCTCTGGCCAGTTGGGAGTAGACCCGACCACGGGTAAAATGGTGGAAGGAACCATCCAGGACCGAACAGTATGAGGGCGCGACGTCCGATTTGTGATATATTTTCTGATATGCGAACAGCGACAAATCCTCCGCAACCTCAATGCCGTCCTAGAGGCTGGAGGGTCGAGTCTCCAAGACGCAATCAAGGTCAACATCTTCCTCACCGATATGGCTGATTTCTCGGCTGTGAACGATGTCTACGCTACTTTCTTCTCGGATCCTAAGCCGGTAAGTATTTTGTGGTCGAAAGAACGAGACTCGAAATCCACAGGGAATATAACTAATCCGGTCTGGAATTTGTCACTCTTTCTTTTATGTCATTCCTGAACATGTGGACCGTTTCTCACTATCATCGGGCCTGGCCCTTTTAGGTGCGTACTTGCATTGCCGTCAAGTCCCTCCCTCAGGGATCGGATGTCGAAATCGAGTGTTCTGGCCTGGTTACAAAGCCTGGCAATGGACGCAGTTCTAGACTTTGAACGGGGCCGTAGAAATGACAATGACGTGGAGAACGAACAGGGCAAACAACTCCACCTGAATTGTTTCATGGCTCCCTTCGATGGCCCGACTCGTGTCACTCCACACAGAATCAAATGTGCGAGAAAATTGGTCACATGATCTACGTATGGTTTACAGTCGATTTGGAAATATTATGAAGTTACTGGCGTTGGTTACGTGTAACTTTTGTTCAGTACTTTTCAATAAATACAGGCTGAAACCAAGGATGAAGAGTGGAGACTGGAGCTGTACCCCTCAGGAACAGGGTTAGCGTCTGCACTTGTCCATGGTACAGTTGATGAGCCCCTGGAATTATAAAAAGCACTTAAGAGAATTACTGGGACCATCCATCCATGGACGCTTGAGATTGTTAATGTCTTCAAGGAAAAGAGCCAAAACTCGAGCTGACCTAGGCTCTGTCCTAGGCTCTGTCCTAGGTCAAACAAAGAGAATGTGGCTGAGTTAACTATAATTAAACCCGTGGACATCCATGGCTCTCGCATAAACTTGTATGATCGGTTCTTTGTTCATGCATTTCTACGGGCTTCTTGATCTCGAGGATATGCATCATGCAGGCACAAGCTCTTGAATAAGCTAAAGAGGTAAGACGTTGGAGTAATAGGAGAGATAAAACAGAACTTAGCGAAGATGAGACAGGGCTTTTTTGTTGCCACGATCTCAAACACACTAGGAATGCTGAGCATTTGAAAATGACGGACAAGAATGAGGGGAAATCGCAGCTGCCAACTCCATTCCGATCAGGGCACGTGGTGTATTTTATCTTTTTAAAACTCGAAAGCTCAGTCAGCTTCGGATCCAGGTCTTTCAAGAATTATTGTACACTATGAGCAGGTGTTCGTGCCAGTTAATCTTTATTAATCTATTGTTCTTGAGATAAAACCTAAAGCTTCGATAGAGCGTGAAACATTCTTAATATCTGCCGGGTTTTAATGACCCATTTTAAGCCAGGGCTCATCCCTACTTCTATAGTACGTTGAATTAGTAGTGATGTCGCACAGCATATGACTCGCAAGCCAGCTAAGGTAACCGCATATGTCTCATGTACTTCACAATGGAAGAACCAACTTACAGAACGCCAGACAATTCTCTTCCCGAGCACTCTGCTCGGCTAGTCAGCGCATTTCTTTGTTGATCTCAAGCCACAAGGAGATAAGTGCGAGCTTACGCCACCAACGACAATGGTAATGCGAGTCGGGTGTCTGGCGAAAGACGCCTGTGTATCACACACTTCGTGGTAAGAGCCGTAATTGGGGCCACGCACATTAGGATATTCCCGACACGCTCAGGTACGCGCGTGGGAAGGACCCACTTAGTTGACGCCTCCGGGCTAGAACTGAACTTTGCCGGGAATTGTCTTTCGACTTGCGCTTTTTTTACCACTTTTTTCCTTCTTTTATATTGTGATCCGCGGCTTGGGTGGGTTTAGCCCCGACTCCATTCTGTATTTTTTTTTTGTTAATGGTCTCTGGGGCTATTGATCGGCTTAAATGAAAAACGCTTTCAGACCCTAACACGGACTTTTTGTCATGGCTTTTCTTTTTGGGCAGGGGTTATATTAGAAATTAAGTGCTGTCATCGTTGGTGTTAAATTGCTCGAAAACTTAGTTTTCATTATTGCATCGGATTTTTATATGTCTATACTCCATAAAGAGTACTCTGTGCTCCGTACTCAGTATCTGACATAGGGTATATATAATATGTATGTGCAATTGTAAGTTATGAGTCGAGACCCTGCTCAACTCGGGTCTGAAATTTGATCTCCAATCTAATCGTGCTCGTTGATCGTTGATCGTGATATTCGCAATGGCCGGATTATGCTCCAGATAATATTGTTGTACAGACGAACGGCGTAACGGGAAAAGAAAAGGAAATATCGTCCGAGTACCTGTACAACGGTCTCTGTACTGTACACGCCAAAGAGGGCTCTAGTCGGATGTACCGGTACATATAAAGCGATCGTGGACCTATAGGGAACGGGCTCATTCTTTCCCCGACGGACATTCATTATCCATTCCAATTTTCTACATAGTGTGACCCATCATTGCCGTTTGGTATGGAGTACACGCTACGGAGTAGACTGCCTAACTGCCTTGTCTTGGCGATATCGTGCAGATTAGTGTTTAGGGTGTTAGCTACTCCCCGTACTCCGTATATGGTTTCAGATGAGGGCCTTGGGAAAACTTTGCCTTAGAAGGGTTACAAATTAGCTATAAGTATTATGGTACAGATAATAGAAGCTTATAATCAGATCAGGATATATTATTTAAACATATAACATTGTAGGAATAGGATCAAGTTCAAAATCAGCAGATATCACAAGCTAATAACGAAACGCTCAGGGGCAAGTGCGTGGCCACATCCCGCGCACCTGCCAAACGCCCGGACCAGCTCATTAAATACACTAAAATGCGTAATTTACCGTAAATTACCCTTGTTGACGCTGTCACAACGTGTCCCGCCCCCCATTCCACTTTCCCCCCTAATGATGGAGTGATCCTTCTCTTCTTCTCTGATCCTCGACTTCATTCACTCATTTACTCCTTTCTTTCTCTCCCTTGTGTGCTTTTGCTGTGTTCGCCTGTTGACCCTCAACGGCGTTTTTGACCTGGGCGAATCTCCCCTTGCATCGGTCGCCCGCATTGCCTGTTTTCCCTTCTTTGATCTCGTTGCCCGGACGGTTCTAAGAAAGTCGTCGTTCGCTCCTTACAGCTGTTCTAAGCCCACACTCGTTTTTCGCCTTTTCGGGGTCGTTTCAGGTTTATCGAAACCCCCTGTCCATTCGTTTATCGTCGAATTATTGTTTGCGCCCATTCGGTCTCATCGGTTGCCATCGAGACGTTTGATACTCTGAATAATCTTGAAATTGTGAATTTATCACAATTTTCCGAAGTCTAGTCGTGTTCCAAACTCGAAGATTCCAAGTGATCTACCTCTTGTCACACCCCCGATATTTCATGAGGTGTTGACAGACGGTGATTATCGCATTTTTGCACACTGACATTGGACTCGCTCTAAGCTATCACGTACGGAATTGTTCGACATGCGTCCCGACGCTATCTCCGTTCTCGCAGCCTTCCTCGCTGTAGGCGGCCTTGAGCTCGTCGCAGCTCAAGATGCCCCCGAAGCGCACGTTCAGCGACCCCGTTGGTACTTCCCGCAGGAAGTCAAGCGAACGATTCGCAGAAACGCTGAGCCTGAACCTGGTTCGATTATCGACAGCGTATTCGACAACTTGATTCCTACCCAGGTTTCTTCATCCACGGCTACTCCCACCCCCGAACCCTCAGTCGCCGCTCAGCCGCAGAAAGGACAGGAAGTGGTTGTTGTGACTATCTCGATCGATCCCAAGAACCCCGAGATCACCCACCGCATTACTGGTACTACGACCATTGGCGGGGAACCGACTGGTACCACTACTACGACTACGCAGAAGACAGAGGGTTCGAGCACCGAGAACACCAGTAAGAAGAGCTCGGAGGCCGCATCTACCGATGCGGGCACCACGAGCAAGCAAGGCTCGGTGGTCGACTCATCAGCCAAGGCTTCGACCCCTGCTTCGACTACAACCTCTAGTGATGGACTCCTTGGTGATTTAGGCTCAGGTGTGGGCAACCTTCTCGGAGGTGATTCCACATCCTCGACGGCGACCACATCTTCGGCTGCGACTCCTGCCTCCGACTCATCAGCCAAGGCTTCGACTCCTGCTTCGACTGCAACTTCTAGTGATGGACTCCTTGGTGATTTAGGCTCGGGTGTGGGCAACCTTCTCGGAGGTGATTCCACATCCTCGACGGCGATCACATCTTCGGCTGCTGCTATGTCCTCGGCTGCGACTCCTGCCTCTGACTCAGCGGCCAAGGTAACTTCGCCTGCTTCATCTACTTCTGCTGCATCCTCCAGCGACGGTCTCATTGGTGACCTGAACTCAGGATTGGGTGGCCTTCTCGGCGAGTCAACAACCAACAGCTCCGTTTCTGCACCCACTGGCTCTAGCGCGAACAAGATCAGCAGCGCGGCCTCCAGCACGACAAGCTCGGGATCTGATCTCTCTGACCTTTTGGGCCTGGGTGACAAGTCTTCCACTGACAACAGCACAAGTAATCCTATGTCCTCGGACGCTTCTAGTTTGCCTATTATCCCAATCAGCGTGCCTGCTTCGGCTACTAGCTTACCATCAACCGTCCCCACCCCCGCTGGCACTACAACTTCTGGCGATTTCGTCGGCAGTCTCGTGTCAGGCGTGGATTCGCTGCTTGGTGTTACCTCTACTGGTACTGGTAGCACTGCTTTGATTCCGACTGCGTCTGTGCCAAACGGTAGTCTTCTGCCGTCCAAGTCGACTGGTCTCATTCCTGGCCAGGGAGGTACCAACACCGGCGCCATCCCCACTCCGACCAAGTCCCTGCCATCAGTTCCCGTCCCACACTCGCCCGGCTCTGATTCTACGTCTACTTCTGGATCCGAAAATGTCTCTGGTTCTAACACCGCCTCGGCTCCTTTGTTGGGCACTACCACCGCCTCTGTTCCCGGTAGTGGCTCTCACGAGAGCTCCAAGGTGCCCAACCCCACCTCTCACCCAGTTTCCACCCCTCTTACCTCGTCGACTTCGACGAGCGAAGAAGCGAGCACGACCAAGACCACTGTGGAGCCTCAGACCCCGACCGAGACGCCTACGCCCTCGACCTCCAACGACAACGACTGGATGCCATCGACCATCCTTATAGTGCCTACCGCCACTGCCACGGAGAGCTCGACCTCCGGTGAGACTGCGAAGCCCACGGCACCACCATCGCTCCCTGGGTCTATCACCCCATCGAACGAGGTCACGGAGCCCCCATCTGACTCCATCTTGCTTCAGCTTGGTTTCAACAGCCAGCTGCCTTGGTCATTTGTTGCAACCACTCCCTTGTCGTCGTCGCAGATCTTCAACTACACCCCTCAGGCTATTGAGAACGCTTTGCCAACCCTCTCTGCTAAGGACGGCCCAGTTATGTTCGCTATTGAGCCTTACTATAACTGGCAGTCCACGGGCTACAACGCCACCCTTGCTATCTTCTACTTCCCTCGTGACAAGGTCGATGCCCTGAAAGCGCTTAAGGTTAACCCCAACTCTGCTCTCTACAACCAGGATAGTGAATCTATCCAGTCATTGATGACAATGGTTGACCCTACAATTCCCCTCGAGTTCTCTGGAAACTACCCTAGTGGTGACAGCGATCCAACTGGCGCTAACAACCGCGACGGTAGCGATGATGGCCCGGACAGTGGCAACAACGACAACACCGATGGCTCTGCCGGCAGCTCCAAGGCTAAGGCTAGCTCTGTTGGAATCGGAGTCGGTGTTGTAGCCGGTGCTGCCGCTTACGGTGCGGGTATGTTCTGGGTTGCCCGCCGCTACCGCAAGAGAAAGCAGTTGCACCAGCGCTCTAGCTCGACCGTTGAGCAGATGAGCCAGGGAGGTTCCGCTGCTGGTTCAATGTTTGCTGCCGGTGGCCGCGCCCCCAGCCATGGTAGCCGTGGAACTGCTCGTTCACAGATGATTAGCGCTCCCGTTATGGCGGAAAACTCTTTGGGATGGAACTAGACATGTATAAACCACTACTTCCATCACAACCCAGCTTCTTTTGGACCATACGACGACAATCAGAGGGCAGCAGGCCTTCGAAGACCCTTGTTTCTTCTGAGATAACTGCTCCTGTCAATGCGCTCATGCTCTCTCTAACAGAGGCAGGGACGGAGAGACTGCACAAAACTTCATTTTCATTGTTCATCATCCGGTAAGGATCTACATGTCACATATCACGTATCTCTTCTTTCTGTGCAATTTTTGACCGGCCACTTTTCTTCTCAACGTGATACTCCGAGCGGCGGTTGGTTGTCGCTGCGTGTGTCGCGTTATCTTTTTTTTTCTTTCTTGACATATTCCCCCTTTTGTTCACCAAATATTTCTTTTTTATCCCTTTACTCCTTTCAATGGCACTGGGACAACCAAATTTGGGACGAAATCTTTTCTCTACTTTTTTGGCTTCCACTTGAAAGCTCTCTCTTATGGACTATTGGTCATTCAGTCTTTGGACTTGCACATTAATTATGGATTTGGGTGGCATCTTTTTGATAGAGCCAATGGCTTTTTCTTCCTGCCCTTATTTCCTCTCTCTGCTTTCTCCATCCCTCCCTGTCTCTCTGTTGTATCTCAATCGTGTTTTCTTGCTTTTGCGTTTATGCGTTTCTGTACAGATGTATGAAATGTGTCCAAGTGCCGTGTGGCCTTGTAGATGTGGACGTGAGCCTGTCAATGAGACAAGTAGATCCCCTTTCTTTTCAAACCTGTCTTGTAGAAGTAAATATTGTAGTGTAGACTTGTTACGTTCAAGTTGGGACGTCTTAGTCCTTGCCGAATATAATATGGTACAATCCGTTGCTACATAGACTTATGTCATGACATCCATTGTATCAGGGGACGCTTTCATGTATCAATGAGTTTAGAGTGAACATTCGGCTAATACATGAAGCCGGATGAGAGCAAATTTATGCGCTCTGACTGAGGTCGTAAAAAGTAACCAGTCCTCCGCAGGACTTTATTCTTTTGCCCCCGTCTCGAAGAGAAGCTTAATCACTTCAATATGACCCTCCTCTCTCGCCAAAACGACAGCACGCCAGTTCCGAGGCGTACGATTCTTCCCTATTTGGGCATTTATATCAGCCTCCTCGAGGTGGAAGCTGACCATCTCAATGTTGCCATGCTCTGCTACGAATTGAAGAGGCATCCTCGAATACTCAGTGCCTTTGGCATTAATATCGACCTTGCTTTGGTCTGTCAGGAACTTGACCAATAGAAGGCAGTCCTTTTGCGCTCCTTGGATGTGATATTTGCTGTCCCTGAGCTCAAACCCGTATTCTTCGAGAGGTCCAAACATCTCGAGGGCGCCCCTGAATGCTGTATAGTACAGGCCCTCCTTAACCTCAGAAACGAGATCTGCTTCATCAAGTCCTCCGTCCGCGAGATATTTGACCGCATTGCAATGACCGTAGCGTATCGCATTTCTTAAAGCATACGTCAGTTAGCGTTGTATTGTTGCCTGCTCTTGAGACTCTGACTTTGATTTATCTCTAGATTTTCGACTAGGCGAATTCTCTACAGCACTGTGAAAGCTGGCTGGAGTTCAAACCCTACCTCTTGTGAAAACGCCTTTTGGTTATTCGAAATGAACCACGGAGCTCATCTTACTAGAGATTTATCGAGCTCGTCTTACCAGAGATTTATCACAATTTCAGGCACTATCAAAGCCCTAGGGCTGTCACTGCTATTTAGCTTTAGCCAAGAGAGTTAAAAGCTGCTCTGCAATGACAGGACTGCAAGCCATTTGACTTCCGATTCCTGCCACCACCGAGCAATACTCAATGCAGTTCACTGCCTAAACATCCCAGTCCAGGAGGAAAAAAATAACATACAACAGCATGTCTAAGGTGGCGGTCACCTAGCGCCCACAGTTCGGACATGGGCGGCTCGCCGCTCTATTCAGGGCACTACTCAGGGCGGATATTCAGCCCGTATAGCAAAATGTACATTTCCCCATTCTAACCGAAAAAGCTATAAGTACCCTCTTTTTCCCTCCGCTTTTATCTCTCCAGTCTCGCTTTATCACGAGCAAGATGCGTACCAAGCATGACCCAACGTTGAATTATAGGGCTAATATTGTGGATTTCGGGGAGCATAGTAACAATGAAATCTAGCGGGTAGTGCTACCACAAACAGAATCTGGTTATAGTCATAAGTTGCTTATTTTCGACGAGTAAGTCTTAGCCCTAGGGGTAGAGAAGCAAATCGCTAAATTGTGCCTATATCCTTAGTTTTGTCAAATTATATCTACAGGCCGTTATTCCGCCGGATATTAGCATATATAAGGCTGTTTCTCGTCGGCCTCATCGTCATTGCCTTTCGCTTTTATATCGAGAGCTTCTAAAGGGATATACTCCCTTGTACCACGGGGAGCCACAACACTAATAGCACCTTATAGTAGATATCTAGTAGGTAGTCGGAGGGAGCATGATAATATCCACCCAGAATTTTTATCTGAGGTCATCCATTATTTTTCTTGTCGTCGCGATATAGCCAAGCGGTGTGAATAATTAAAATCCATTATCCTTGTCTAAACATACTTGCTTTTTCATGGTCTTTGTATGATTCTACATTGGCGGGAGAGAGGGGATAGCCTAATATCGAGTTCAGCTGAGAGGGGCAGCGCAGTGGCTGGGCGGGAAAAGAAAAGAAAGCAGCAAATCAGACCGGGATATCAGCGTTATTATGCTGGGGTATCAAAGAGAGGTACTCCGTACGGAGTAACTATCATATAGTTACTAAATTGGCTTCCTACTTCACTAGGCTGGCTCGCTAAGTTCTTCGTGCTCTTTGATTGAATTCGAAAATTGAAGATATGTCGTTGAGGACTCAGAAATGACAGGTCAATAGCAGGATGTTGTATCTGTAAGCAACATAATAAGCTTATGATCTGATAGGTCGTTACCGCTATCGCTGGCCCGATGAATGCCCCGAAGCTTAAACACTACCGGCGCCTTCTCCACTACCGGCACCTTTTCCATGACCGGCCTGGAGTTGCTGGAGCTTTGGTAGCGCACATCCACCGCAGCATAACCCAATAGTAAGGATGTTCCTTGCTGATGTATCTTCTGCAGAAACCGAGGTAACACAGCAGGCACAAAAGCCTACGATAACTGCTTTCCTGACATTTTGTGGAAGTAATGTCTTAATATTTAATTAGCCTCAAGTTCTCAATATAAAGTGTGGGCAAAAATACTTACAATAAGATTGATATTCAATTTAAGAGGACACAACAAGATAGAAGTAAGAACCAAATTGGCATATGTTGTGAAGATAAGCTGAATTGCACAAATTCTTTGATGTAGTGGATTGAGCAGTAGAAAACAACGTATATGGCAGTTTTATGGATTAGGAAGAAAAAACCGGTTGAACCGCTGAGATTCCGAAGTCGAGCGGGTAGGAGTTATATATCAGTAGGTATGAGCATTGGGTTAAGTTGGCTGCAGACCAGCCATCTCACACGTCACTCAGCTGGTCCTGAGTCGAATTTCCGCGCATGTGCACACGCTGAGCGAGGGCCTTGTCAGCCTTGGGTAGGGGCACTTGCACGTATATCTACATCACCTTGTCCGGTGAACCAGTGGGACAGCGACGACAGTTTATGGAGTAGAAATGCAGCTACTAATCGAATCACATCACTTTTGTAAATCACTTTTGTCAAAGTACCTGTTGTCGGGTGGGGTTTAGGCCTATGCAATTGTAGGTCGTATTTAAATGTTTGAGCCAGTAGTCAATCACAAGTCTGCCCTAGACTTTATTTTGGTGAGGCATTTATGCCATTAGATAGCGGCGAGAGGCGCAGCACCAGCAATCACCAGGAATGACGACGAGGATAGAGTAAGGGAATGGGCCACATAGACGAGGACCAGAACAGACTCGAGCGAAAGGGTAGATTATCGAATCGAGGACCAAAGTGTCACTATGTAGCACGGGTAGAACTACTCTACTGTTCCACTACAGTAACTAATCGAATTACTGTATGGCCCAGGCAGTGGTAGCAACTGGCCGAGGAAAGGATGACTGAATAAAGTGGGATGGACCTAGACAAGAGAAAGGGCAGGAGACCTTTCCCTGTCCTTGGTCCCCCATCTTCTCTCCTCAAACCCGCCCCACATCACACCGATCAGCGTTGTGACCGTATCTCGATCACCCACGGCACCATCGCCGCCAGTGCTGTCTCGTTTCATGAGTAGCTACTAAGCGGCATCACCTCTCTCCAACTAGCACAGAATGGCCTTTATTACAAGCCACTCGGGCTGAACATCCGAGCTGCATGCTGCTTTGCCTATGGAACGACAACCCCTTTAACCACATTCCTGCGAGCCCCCATCGAAGAAATACCGCGACTCCACACGGAGAATTGCATGTGGCAGATCACCTATCGCAATCTAAAATCACATTTCGAAAACCACGACTCAGTATCCCAGTCAACAACTACCAACCACCACCTTCCCTCCAACAGATCACCCCTGAAGGCAACCATTTCGAACCCCAGCATACAGTGCCAGGCCTCTCCAGCAGCCACTCCCGCCAGGCTCTCAGTAACCCCGCGACCTCAACCGCAACCAGATCTAAAATCGTTGAAGTCCTCCTATCGGTCACTACTAAGAATTATACGTGTTGTATAGTTCTCGTCGGTAAAATTGCTAAGAAAAAGTTCACTATACCTTCGGGCCCGTCTCTACCGACGGCTGTGAATATAGGATATTGTATGCTATCCTAGTGTAAAGACTGAGTTCGACTTTAACGACCTGGGTAGTGTTAAGCTAATATGTTCCCGACTACTCGAGGAAGACCTTGTCACATATTCCGTAGATCAAGTCATGGTCTAGAATCTCGTGGCAAACGTTGGGCTGATACCGATCACATTCGTGAGGCGCTTGGTATGAGTACTGTGGAGATCTTTTGTCTATTGGTCACTGTGCGCGGAGCCCGAATTGACACTATCTAGTGGCTCCTATATTTCCTTGTTGGCTCGGTTGACCTGATCAAGAGTTAAGAGACCTTTGATGATAACCGCCCTATCAAGTTGTAACGCGGCGAAAATTGTATTGGCACCTTCCGAGGCGAGGCTGGAATATGCTATAACGTGGAGTCTGGGTTTGAGTTTGAGTTTGAGTTTGAGTCTGAATAGCCGACATGTTCGCGAATAGTATAAAATATAGAAAGGTCTATTCGCAATAGTGTGAGGTACCGGGTGTTTGACAAATCTGCCTTGTTTATAAGTCGAGGATAGATCACATATTCAATCTATATGACTACTAAGTGACACTTTATAGGGATTATTAGTTGGAATTTGCATTATTAGTCTCACATTGAGTTGTTCCACTATATCTGTTGCCTCGGTATAGCATACTTAAGATAGCCTAGCTCGATGAACCTGTGGAAAGTTGCCATTTTCGGAACAAGTCACTGGTGCTGACTACGGGGATGCCTCTTCTAGAATTTACACATTAAGAACCTAAATGTTGGAATTAATATATTATTGATAATCTAGTGCATTTATCATCCCTTTTTTCATATGGTAGCGCGGTGAGGCCGGATAATGTGATAATACTTGCTGGTTTTCAAATTGGAAAAGTTTATAGTCTGTGTGTAATCAAGGATGTCGAAGACCCCTATAATGCCTCGGCCATAGAGAAGCAAAAATGAGTCACATAAATACATCTCTAGTTACGACTACCCGTAGCGGAACCCAACAGCCTGCTAGGCCTATTCCTAACGGAAAAAGCGATGCATTCCTGCTCCCCTTGGTGACTGCTGCGTCTACTGCAATAAAGCGAATCAAGCATATGTTTCTAGGGTTAACTAACTTAAGAAGTAAGTTAGTCCTGTTTTGGTAGATCGGCGAAGACTGTGTTTGGTAACTTTGTCCTATAGGCCTAGTGCGAGGAATCAGATCGTGAACCGCTACACTACTAGGTCGATTCACTATTGCCACAAGGAATCGATTACCAAATTCCTCGTTGGAGTGCCGTATATTCGCTTTATTCGGAAATGTGGAGGCTATTACCTCCGCTCGACACAAAATACTTTAAGAACAAACCCTACACCTCTATAGTAAACTGGCCATAGGAACATGATCGAAACCAAGAGTAAGCGGCTACACCAAAGAGGAGAAATTACTCTCCGGTTGATCATCAACTTGGGATAATGAACGAGGCAAGGCCTACCGCGGGCTTGGATTGACATGCTCCAACCTCGCATATAGGGACAGACTCAACGATAGAGCATCGAGAACTGCCTATCGAAGATCCTCTTAGACCGAAACCACTGGCAGAAGAGAAGATACTTTGAACTCCTGGGCACACCACTCCTAATTTCTCACCGGGTGACCTCGATGCGCTATTTAGGGTTTGAAACTCTACTACTAGAATAGAGGTATGGTAAGAGCCTTTTGTATAGTTAGGTTTAGGGAGACAGTATCTTCATATGATTGGGCAATTATACTACCCGAATTATCAAGTTGTTATAAGACCAAGAAGTGAAATGTTCACTCCGCGTACTCGGAATATAATGTGAAGAATGCGAAGTGAACTAGAGGGTTTCTAATGTTGTGGTAAGAGTTACATAGTCCCTCCACCTCCTAGCTCGTGGACCCATATAATTTACACTCGATCCGCAGATCTCTTACTTAAGTTTCTTAGCTCGGCTCAAACCCTGGACAGTGTTTTGCATACCACTGTAGTCCATCTGCATGCTGGTCTTTCCGGTTATGGCGATCATTTTGATTTGGGTCATTTATCCAATTAACAAGTGAACGTACACAGTTTCCTCGCACACGCATCTGTAGAAAATAAAAAGCAACTAATGAAAGTCTCTGGCTCCTCAGGTACAACCAACATAGTTTAACTCTGATGACATAAGTCTCTCTTAGACCGGCTCAAGCATGGACCTTGCCATTTCAAGTTTCGCAGTTGGAACCAACCCCAATCCAACCAGCTTGGTGATAACACGAATAGTCCAACCTTGGCAGTTCTCCATCACAGATTTGCGATCTTTCGCTCTGGGGGGAACCTCTGCCGCTGCGACATCGCTCACCACCGTCTGCTGTTCTTCGGTTACAGCGGCTAGATGATAGATGTTCAAAAAAGAGCCAGATTGGACAATATTAACGACCCCATCCGAAGGTAGGTAGCTCATGTACTCTGCATCTCCCTTGACCTGAAAGACATATCCGGGTTGGTTCTCACGGGAAACAAAGAGTGACCAATGCAGAGGTTCCCCTTGACCTTGTCGCTGATGAACGAGAGATAGGTAGAGGGGTGGGGATAGAAGAGATTGGTTAGAGCTACTGCTTGAAGCAGTATGCTCAGTCCATTGCTGTGTGCCTTTTCTCCTGGTGAAGGTGCGGCCGTTGACCTCGCACACCTCCCTAAAACCGAAGGTCCTTATGGGCGTCGTCGTGGATGGATAGTGGCTCATTTCCTAGGGACATAAGCATCAGTACCTTATAACCAGTGAGTTTGGGCCTTTACTGTAAAATACCTACTAAATAGCTTATGTATTGTTGTTGTTCGTGTTCAGCTTGGGCGAAGTCTGAGTTATCAGGTTGCTGAAAGAATGACCCCACCCCAACTGAAAGACTGGATCTGTTCTATGATTTATGTATCTGGGTATGTACTTAGGTACCTAGGTACTTAAGTACTTCTGATATCTATTTTTGGGAACATTGAGCTGAAAGCAAAGCGCTTGTTGATACTTGAGAAATCCCAATGACCCATCTTGTGCATTAGGTTGTCAGATCTTGCCCTTTTCACATAGGATTGATATCCTATAATTGGTCAACATTTGCAATTATAAAGTGGATGACAGGGTTCATACGAAGCCATGACAATAGGGAGCGACTCATCTGCCAATCAAATTCTCAGTAGAAAGAATTGCGCTATTTGACTGGCCTGAGAAAAGCAAGGCACTAAGTGCAAGTGGTTGTGCTGGTCACCTGGGACATGGATTGGGGAGGGAATTAGCAGCGCATAGCTGAAATACTAGCTACGTAATCCTGGCCGCCCCGGGGTAATGTATGGAGCACATAATGCCCATGACTCGTATACTGCCTAGGTGCCCAGGTGCTGCAGCCCGGGAGGGTTTCGCGGTGATTACGTAAGCGCTATTGAAACCCGTGGACCCTCGGGGCCGTGGCAGTGAAGGGATCTCTTCCCACCGAAGCAACTTGGATCTTTATGAGATTTCCACCTTGTCATCACCGCTCAGCTCAACGTGACTGTCGGTCAAGGGAATACCCACAAAATGACCGAATCTCCAACTGAGGTTCTTTACGAAGATCGGAATCTTCACAAAGGGCACCGATATATCAAGAAGGGCAACACTTTAATACCATGTCCCTCATCTGTGGATCCACTCAGCCTTGAAGCTGACCAAGAGCTGATCCATGTGCTCGATAAGCAAATGGGCAGACTTGTTATTGAATGGGACGCTTCCTGGGTGACCAAGTCAGGGTTTGGAGTGCGATCTGCGGAAGCCGAAGCAATGAGACTTGTTTCTAAAAACACCGAGGTTCCGGTCCCTGAAGTGCTTTTCACCGATTTCAGTGCGGATGGGGCTAAAATGGAAACGGAAACGGAAGAGCCTTTAAAACCCAACTGTCATGCACCAAAGGGGTTGATTGCGATGACTATTATTCCCGGGATACCCCTGCAGAAGAAATGGGACAGCCTAGACGACGAGGCTAAAGAGTCAACGTGTCTTCAACTTTGGGATCTAATCTCAAAAATCCGAAATATCGCTCGTCCACAAGAGCTTGAGGGGCCGTATCAATGTGCCGCAGATGGCTCTCCATCCCGGGACCCGATGCTGGAAGATCTGCAAAAGCCCGTTCGACCACTTACCAGCGACTTGGAGCTACGTGCGAGAATATACGAGCGCTATCTCCACTGTGGAGGGAGTCGGTATAAGAATCAACTACTGGACATGTTGCCCCAGTCAGAGCGCTCGGTGTTCACTCATGCAGACATTGCGCCGCGTAATGTGATGGTAGACGAGCAGAACATGGTCACCGGCATTCTTGACTGGGAATCTGCGGGGTGGTATCCTGACTACTGGGAGTATGCACAGATTATGCGGCCGGCTTTTTGGGGAGACTGGTCGGTGTGGATGGAGAAGACGGCACCGCAGCGGTGGGATCTTGAAGGAATCAATGCTTCAAGAAAGGTTTTGTTTTGAGTCTATAGGACGGCACTACATGCTAGCTGAAAACATTCAGTATGTACTATGAAAGCCATAAATAAACAGACAAGCCATTTCTACATCTTCCAGTTCCCCTGCTTTCGACAAACCCAAGACAACCTGCCGCTCATCGTAGTAAATGTGAACGTCGACGTGACGAACGAACTAGGGAGCAGGCGTTCAGCCGTGTATCGCAGCGACTCAACTTTTGACAAATCCGCCAGAGAAGACGGTTCACCCTCCCCTTTGCGGATGTCCGGGGATCATGTACGTCGAAAGCCGGGGAAAGAACGAGTTGAGATGTGGGTTAATGTTTTGTGGAGGTTGCGATATAAAGATTTTCGATTGGTTACTAGGCCTAGCGCTTTGACTGTGGAAGAGGGTGGTGAACATGGCAATGAGAAGGGAAATACTAAAGAGAAACAAAAAGATAAAGAGGGTACTGGTCTGGGATGAGGTGGAAAGTGTCAAAAAGTTTGGGGGAATTATGGCGAAGAGGGGGGGGGGGTTTGGAATTGGTGGAGGATGGGGATGGGGTATGCTTGAGTTTTGCGCATTGGTGTTCGCTTTGTATACTACTTCAGAGATATCCATTTGATTTTTCCAAATTCCAAATCCATCATTACGGGTCATCCGTGTCTAATATAATATACAGAGATAATTGAATTCATCTAAACGCCAAAATTCATATTATACTGACACCTACCAGGTTTCAAACAGGTGCCGGATAACTGAGCAACTTACAAACATCCTACATCAATTAGCAGAGTCCAATAAAACAGATAACACATACCTTTCGCTTCCTGCGGCCACATAACCTAAGGCTTAGGCGGAGGCCGATCGGAAAAATGAACGAACTTCGCCTGCGCAAGAACATGGTCCGGATCCCAGACCTCGTCGTCATTCCCCAGGAACCTGCGATGGTCCTTCGTCCGAAATTCGCCAGTGAGCTGTATTGCCGGTGCGGGAGGAACATCGCCGGGTCGCTGTATCACGCATTCAACAAATCCATATCGTCCCGGTGGTGTGTGATATTCACTTCGATCTGGCCGTTCTGGGCGGGTCCGGCGTCGCCGGTGATGCGCACAAGCCTGAAATTGGATATTATGGTGCAGGTGCCGAGACATCGGAGGTTTCAGGCGCGATTGCCGTTCGGTTTACATACTTGTTGAGTGTTTGAACTTCTTGTAGTTTGCAGAGGAGAGGAAGCCTAACATCTGCCAGAACTGGCGTTCAGAAATTACTGCGTTGGACCATGGAAAGTCAATCCATTAAGGGGCTGTGTGAGATGCCAAAGCGACTGACCTCGTCACCCAATGATATTCTATTCTAGCTCAGCTGAAAGTCAGTGCGGCGGCTGCACCGGCCCCGCAGGATTCTCACCCGGTTGTCACCCTATCTATATCTATAGCGCACTCACCCTTCTCACCCTAGCGACGCACATCGAACTATTGACCGCACATAAGCCACAAGCCGGAAAGTTAGTAGTGGGCTGGGTGACCTCCAGCGAATTTATATTCAATGACAAGTTTGATTCTCCTAGGCGGCCCGTTCTTTCCTACTGTCATTTGAATTATAGGAGGACATGTGTCAACCGATAGAAGCTAATACCAAAGATTTGTGATCGAGACAACACGTTTGTGAAGAAAATAATCAGTGTAGGAGGAAGGACACGTCAGCGGTTCAGGGGCGTGCAGGATATTCAGGTGTAGAATAGTGGTGTTTAGGGGATTCAGGTGAACGGG